CGAAATCGCGATCCGCGTCTGGCAGTTTCGACAGAATACAGACCACTTCGAATTATTTTATTCGATTAAGCTAACGTGCCTATCACGTTGAGGTTGGCTACGCCAGGATTCGTTTTCAGCAAGTAGATATCCACACAAGTGGACCTTGTTGAAAAATACGTAATCCTAAAATGTAGCATCGTGCTACAGATGGCGTTCACTGTGCCGTTTGTAGTATTTTCTGAAACGCTCACTTTATTTTCAACTTCTTCGCTTTGATCCTTAGTTTAATTTGAGCAATTTGCTCCTACTTTCACTTTGGCTAGTCCAGCCCTGCTTATTTTCTACTTTCATCGCGTTATCACGACTCACTCCACGAAAACTAAAACCCTTACATCTTATATTTGATTGATAGGTTTACGAAATTATTCTGCTTACCAATTAATGAGCAATGTAAGGAATTTGAAAGAACTGTTTTGAAAACGCCATTAGCTTCATTCTACTAATTACGAAATAACTTTATTAAAATTTATGAGGCACGACGTAAAAAAGTTGATAAGAGAATCGGTTAAAAAGACAGCACTAGAATGTTATTTTATTACTATATATATATTCAGCTGATATCAGTGACAAATGTAGTAGGTACATTTGTAAAAATAAATCTTATTGTTCAACAATATAGCGGCAAATTAGTGTTTAACGCATTATAATGCCCTTGACTTGAAAGTAAGCATGCACCGACTGCTAGGTGTATTGTAAAAGTGGCTCAGTTTTGTTTTGACGCAGATTCGAAAAGCATTTCACAGTCTTAACAGCGTGTTTGTGAACAATGTGATTTTTGAGTTGACAACGCTACTACAAACTCGGAAATGGTAACTCCTAATCTAGTCAGAAAGGTAAGATAAGTCTAAAGTTATAAGTTTTTTACTTACTTATTGTACTTTTATTGAAACAAGAAAATTAAAAGAAATTCTATCGAACTAAATTAAGTAAATAAAACGCTAAAACCTAAAATTCAACATGTTTAAAAACCTAAAACGCTTTCCGATATTTACACCTGAGGATGACACACTGGGCGTCGAAACGCGTTTTAGGATTTTTAAATGTTCTTTGCTGTTGATTTTTGGGTTTTTGTAATTTACTTGAAGTAATAGATTTTTTAACTTTACATTTATAAGTTGCCTTTTGAAATGTGTGCCTTTTTTAAAAATTTCATTTTTTATCAAAATAAATATAAACTTATCCGCTGCGTCTCTCAGAACTGCTTAGTAGACTGTACCATTTTGTTTTTGCGTGATATGATGCACATTATTTACGAAATTTATTCTGTAAACATCGACACGGACCATCGTTCTCGGAAGAATAACAACTTGCTGCTGGTTTTTCTTTGACGTCATTACCCCGTGGTTACCTAAACCACCCTAGCTACAGCCGAACTTTATCTAGCTTCAACTTTTAATTTTGATCAATTACTTTTTCTGCTTTTTCTTTTTGTCATTTATTCGGCTGTAGTCTCCCTCTTACGTTCTAGTCTTTTATTTTCTTCTCTCTCTATATATATATATATATTTTCAAGATTCTTTTTTTCGTTAATTCCTAACGTAAAATCATGTTTTTCTTGCTTTCAAGCATGCCCTGTTACTTTCTGCTATAAGATTATTTATTTTCCTTGCGAATTTGACGTTAAAAACAAATTCGTTTTTATTGTTAATTTTCGCTCTTCTCTCACCACCCCTCTTTTTCCGAACCCTTGCTTGGTACTGGGGTTTGTTTAAATAGTCGTGTATTCCTCATTACCAGTTCCCTAGGTTCAATCCTCACTGCTCTTTAGGCCGATGACATTGCCCTTATAAATTCCACCAAAACAATTCTTCGGAGCTCCGCAAATATTAACAAATTTCTGCCCCTGCTCCTCAACTGGTATCGTAAATGGAAACTAGCTATTATCTTCTTCTCCCATAGGACTCGAAAGCCTCCGACGATCATCGTTAACAACCACCCCATCAAACGGAGCAACTCCGCTACCTACGGCGTCGTTTTTGATAGAACACTGACATGACGAAAACACATCCTTGCCACCCGTGCCAAGGCCCTAGGAACCTTTTTCTCCCTGAAGCCTTTTTTCCAAAATAGCTATCTCCCATCAAACACAAATCCCTGCGTTCAACGCAATTATCATAAGCATTTGCTCCTACGCCATTCCCATTTGGGACTGCACTTATTCTCGCAGTCTCCAGATTCTTTAAATCACTCACATGCAGATTCTTCCCTCCGCACTCAACTACCCATGGTTCATCGGGAACATCCAAATTCGGAAAGAAACTGATCTATCTTCTCTCCCCGAGGTTACAACCATATTCGCAGTAAATCTCGAGGCCTCAGTGTCAGGTCACCCAAACCCGTCTATCTCGACACTTTCCCACTTCGCCCCCTTCGCCCCTAAGCCAAACTACCGTTTCAGAAGGCCCTGTCACCTTCTCTTGCGAGCTGCTCACTTTTGCTCAATTTTAGTTTCGTTCTTTAACGCGAGTGCCCACTGTACTATTTGAGGTGGGACACCGATTTTCTTTCACATCATTCCTCCACCCCAAAACACTAGCCCCCCCCCCACTCAGCTATCTTTTTCCCAAACTTCTCAACGAACCTTTCCTTGGAATGTACAACCTTCTGGTTGATCTCCCTACTCGAGGAGGGGTTTTAGTCAGTAGGCGCTTCGGCGAATCCGATGAAGGGGGTATTCAGGGCGTGATTTCCCCTCTTCGGAAAAAAAAAATTAGTACCAGCTAATCAACAGCATGGCTTAGATGTTTAGACCACTGCTTAGCATTCGGGACGACGCCGTTTTCGTTGGATCATTTAGGCCAATGCTAGGGCAGTAATATTCTACAGATAATCTTTCATTCTTTTCTGTCTTCATTTCGTCCGTCTCATCTTTCCCACCCGAACCACCACCCACCCATTCCCACGATTCCTGAAAGCAGGCTGAAGAGGGCCTTCCGCCCTACCTTCCGGCGTAGTCCGGAGGGACTGCCCGCCGACCTGCGTTAGTGGCTGGTGGGAATGAAACATCCAAAAGTTTCAGTACCAGCATCTCTGACATCCGACCCACCAGCGGCAAGGGAGAGAGATATCTCATGATCTCGTGTTTTTATGTTTTATTTCCATTTTGTACTACATATTGAATCTAATAAATCTTGCCAGAAAGATGATGCAGAATCCTACACTTACTTAATATCCAAATTGGTAATTACACAAAATCACGAACTTATTATAAATGATCGTTCAAATTTCGAGAATATCATTAATTCTGCAAGGGATATACGATATGACGAACCAAATGGACGTTCATCCTGATTTTCCTGGAACTTCAGCAGATGAACCAATAAATAAGGCTAAACAATTCTATAAAATCTATTTCTTTTTTATTTTGAAATGCTATTTATTCAGTATTCACGTCGTCCAATTAGTAATGAATGTTCTGACGTTGTTCTTTGTGATATATAAAAAAAAATGTTATTACAACTATAAAGGTCAACTACCTACATAGGTATCTATGATTTTTCTTAAATAAAATACATCCTCGTAACTTTACAGCATTTAATTAACCTAATACATTTTTTGGGCAGTATGTATTTATTATTTTTATTTATAACAAACTTTACTGTTTTATTGCTTAACCGGAAATGAAAATTTGAGGTTGAGGATTCAAAATTGGTATACTGTTAAGCTAGAAAGAATAATTAATAGTTTGGAGTACAAAAATGCAGGTGAAAAGATAAATAATCATATCGTAAACAATTACAAAAAATAATTCCATTGTTCTTAAGCTTACGATCAGCTCTTTTCGCTTCCTTGGCAATAAGATAGTCTTTTCGTTTATGTGGAAACTGGAAATTGTTTTCAGTTACCTTTTCATACATGAGTTATGGTTGTCTCTAGTAATTTATTTATAAGCAAGGTTTTGAGATTACGTTACAGGTTAATAGTCGACATGTTTGGTTTTTCTATTTTATTAGGCGACTAATTATTAATTTTTAATTTTCTGATAGACCACATTCCTTGTTATAAAAATTGTTATAAGGACAACAAAACATACCTAACAGATGGAAGTCATTCTAAAGATAATGAGCTACAAGATTATTTGAAGGGGAGGCCCAGAAGGTCAAGGAAAACATGTATACGATCTAGACTAGTGTTTTCTAACCTTATTTGTATCATTATCTATTTAATATATGAATTAAATTAACATCTCTATATTGATTGTTAACAAGGATAAGAGAAGGTTGAAGCAGGTGAAAGACTACCAAAAAAGGAAAAATCCTTTGGGTGTTTCATTCCCACCAGCCAGTAATGCTGGTTGGCAGACACTCCCTCCGGACTACGCCGGAAGGTAGGACGGAAGGCTCTCTTCAGCCTGCTTTCAGGAATCGTGGGAATGGGTGGGTGGTGGTTCGGGTGAGAAAGATGAGACGGACGAAATAAAGACAGAAGAAAATGAAAGATTATCTGTGGAATATTACTGCCTCAGCATTTACCTAAATGATCCAAGGAAACCACAGAAAAACTTGGACCAAGGCAGACGGACCCGGAATCCAACCGGGGTCCTCCCGAATGCTAAGCAATGGTCTAAATCTCTAGGCCATGCCACTCGTTTTTACCAAGAACCATACGATAAAATAAAATTTTGAACGAGTCCATTTTTGAATTCACCCACTTTCCTCTCCATTTGGGAACACGCATCTATACTATATTTCGATTAAAGACAGTATCCAATTTTAACGTAAGACCTTGGTATTACATAATATCCTGAAATTATGTAATTCGTTATTTCCTTAGTGTTTTGCGTGTTTTCGTTTTCATAAAAATAAAATATAAAGCAGCATGCAACTGCAATATGCCAAAGGCGGCAAAATGATTTCTGTTGTTGGAAGATGTTCTACTAAGTTTATTTGTTGGATCAATTTCACTGTTTTATTTAGGAAGGAAATCTTTCTGTAGGTGACATAAATGTTGGGTGGTATGCAGAATGTGGGGTTACAGGCGAATGATGAGGATACCGTGGATAGAGAAAGTTAGAAATAAAGAGGTATTAGAAAGAATAGGAGAACAGAGGACTCTATGGAAGTCAATAAGAAATAGGCGAGATAGGTTGGTAGGACATCTTCTCAAACATGAAGGTTTAGTCAGAGACATATTTGAGGCAGAAACAGGAGTTAAGAGGACTAGATTAGATTACTGTTTGCAAATAGTTAACGATGTGGGTTGTTCATGTTTTGGGGAAATGGGAAGATTAGTTAAGGATAGGAAAGAGTGGAGGTGCGAATGTAACCAGTCTTAGGACTGACGACCTTATGATCACCATGCATAAATAGGTACTTCCAGTAACCGTATTTGATTCGAAAAATTTACTTTCATATGGGTAAATTTGCACTGCGGTAGTGGTACATGCCCAAAAAAAAAAGAATGAGGTAGACAAAAGCCGCCTAATTTTGGGTAGTTACCTAATTTTGGATACTGTGTTATCTCAATTTGTAAATAAACTCACAAAACGAAAGGTCTCTAACATTAAGTGATCCTATGCGAAGCATACACTTCGGTTATTCACTAATAAGTTGTATCATAAAATGATGAGTTTATTTGAGATTCACAATTTTTGGTTTCTTCTCCGTTTGCAAACTGTAATAAACGATTTTAGAAATTAACTGTTTGTGCGTATGTAAGTAGGTATTTAGCGCAACATTATCGTCATATCCATTAAAATAAAATTATGCAAATTAGATTTGCGTGTTTGTCTTTACAATAATTTTATTTGTTAAATATATTACAACACCGGATGAAATCTAATTCAATAAACGACTCAAAACAAATTGTGTTTGTGATTTACACTACAACTAAG